CATTTGATATGTGATTTCAGAGCATGTTTCGCTGCCATGTCCTCACATCTTTCAATCTTTCAATGCTTTGGAGGGTTGGTGCTTTATGCCTTAAGTATGAGCCAATATGTATGCCATCTTGCCTAGGCTTTCGGACTGCCATATCAGTGTGTTTTTGGTCTTATTTTGCCATGATACAACTCTAATTTTTGTTGATAAAGTCATCTCATGCTTGGTTTTGGTAGGTGTAGTGTAATCCTCCTCATTGGCCTTGCATACTCCATGCGACATGCCCTTCATGCTAGCATGTGTTAGCTCTAGTCCATGCATGTTTTAGCATCATTTTGGCATGCTTTAGGACTATTTTGGATCATCTTGGCCTTTTAGGGCTTGTTTTGTATAGCTATAGTGCAAGTGCCTATGCTAGTTTCAAGCTTTGAGCATCCTAGCATGCTTCATTTGTAACATGCGCATGATTTGGCATCATTTTACATGTTATTTCAGAGCATGTAGTGTTGTCACACTTCCATGTTTGTCACTTCTTAATCATGTTTGAGAGTTGTGCTCTTATGCTTAGTTGATGGGCCAATGCATATGCATGCATCATCTTGCCTTTCATGGCATTTTGGCCACTATTTTGGCATGATTTAGGTCTGTCCATATTCGGTTTAAGTCCATTGAGCATTGTTTTGCATGCCTCTTGTGAGATGCACTTTACTAGCTTTGGTGCCTTAAGCTTCTAAACTTTCCATGCATGTATTGTTCACATGTTGGAATCGTGTGCATACCATTAGCATTGATAAGTTGATCATGTTGTATGTGTTGCATTGTGTTTGGAATGTTGTTGCATTGCATTGTTGTTTGGATTGAACGTTAATCCAAACACGAGAAACGAGGGACATTTCATACTTGAAGTGATGAAACGTGCCTCATTTCTCGGTCGCCGACGCTCTTGATTGTGTATGATAGGCTGGAGGCCCTTATGTGTTATTTGTGCATTCATTGACATTGACTTGTGCAAACTTGGCTTCTCGGCCATCATGCATTGTAATGCTCGGTTGGTGGCCCGAGAGTCG